AAACGTGTGTCATTTATCATTTCACATTATTCTCATACTTGCAGCCGCTGCCCATGCAGCGGGAGTGGTTCGAGGCAACGTTGGGGTCGGCAGCGTTGGGGGGAATCGACCCCCCGAGCGTTGCTGTGCGAAATCACCCAACGGAGCGTTCGCAGAGCGTGGAGGGAAAAACATCTTCGTGTTGAGGATAAGAGTGAAGGGGTGCCCCTTTTCCCCGTGTAACAGTGTAAAACCGTTTGGAGGTCTGTCAGTGAACCTGCTGCAGGGGAGGGGCCCACAGGAGTAAGCTGGTGAGTTTGGGCGGAAACCCAACTCGTTGGGAGCTTGCCCAAAGGAGCCAGTGAGCGACTCTCGGACGACGGTCGTAGAGTGGAGGGAGGAGTTGGGACGGTGCCGGCACCCATCCTGTAGGAGGGTTTCAGGCGCCGAGCGTTCCAGAGCTCTGGCCCCGCCGCGATCTTAGATTCCGAGCTCCTCCTCTTCCCCCTCGCTTCGTCTGTCGTCCCCTCCCAGCAGGGAGCCACCAGACAGTCTCGGAGAGCGAGGCGTTCGAGTGGGTGTCGTGCTCTGACAACAGGCGGTGCAGGGAGGAGAGGAGCAGGGCGACGGCGCCGGCACCCATCCTGTCGGAGGGCTTCAGGCGTCCTGCGTTCCAGATCTCTGGCCCCGCCGCGATCTGAGATTCCGAGCTCCTCCTCTCCCCTCTGGTTTCGGCTGTCGTCGCGCGACCGTCATGGAGTTACCGTGCTTCGCCATTGTCGCCATTCACGGACTCGCCTCCGCATCCTGTCAGAGCACTCGTTTCTTGTGGGGTCCGTGTGGGACCTCAGCTAATAACCGTACTTCGCTCTCATCCATTCCTGGGCTCTCGACCCAGACCGAGCAGGTGCTGCTTCTTTCGGTGACCCCAGCGAATGCACCGTGTGCTGCGCCACACGGGACGGAGAGAGCGGGTCCGTAGCCGTCTGGGCTCAGGCGGCTCAAGCGGTTGAGCGCAAAAACTTACCGCCCGCCCACCCCTCGTGAGAGGGGCATGGCCCCAGGCAGCAAAAAGAAAACGACACACCCAGCAGGAGAGACGAAGTGGTCAGAGTCCCAACTTCGCGCCGCTGGAGTGTTGCTTCCAAAGAAGTCGCAGGACACCACATCAAAAGTTGATCGCCCGTCTGAGTGCGCTAGAGCGTACGCCCTGCGTGACCAGGTGCTGTCTGCGCTCGTCAGAGGTGACAATCTTCGCCTCTTTCCTTTGCTCAGATCATTGGGCCAACTCCGTGTGACCAGACAAGTACTGGCTGTCACGGGCATTGGCCATTTGGTAGCAGACGCGTCCTTGTGGAGACGGTCGCCGCACCCCCGGGCTGTGATATTTTCAAGGGTTCTGAAACAAAAGTGGCTTCTGGACGTCAGGGGAACTGATTCATTGGACATCTTAGGCGCTGATGTGCGCGGAGAGTTGAAAGGTTTCAAGAACGAGTCTTTCCTCTGCACAGTGAATGTTTGGGCAGATGTTCTGGAAGAGATGGATTCGCCGCCAATGCTTCGTCGTCTCCGGCAGCGCCTGGGTCTGATTCTCACGTTGTGCGGCTTCGACCACATCAGCCACCTGGGCGGTTTAACGGCCGAGGAGCTCGACGGCGTGATAGATTCACCGGTGTTGAGAGCTGCCACACGTCGCTTGCTGGCGCGCGCGGCTCTAATTCAGCCGAGGGCGATAGAACTCGCCCCAGCGGAGCCAGCACTCCCATCTGTTTCATCGGCAGAGGGGTTCGCCGACACCATATCGCCACAAGTTGTGAGAGAGCTGGAAGATCACGTGTCGGCTGAACTCAACAGCATGGGCATTGTGAATTTCGACCGAGACGCGAAGCCCATGGACGTCATCCGTAGACTGGCAGCAGCGAAAGCTCGAGGGCAGAACCCGCATAGCGTTCTGCAAGAGCGCGTTTGCCTCCTGAAGACGGAGTCTGCCAGGGCTTCGCTAGCCAGCGTGTCGAGTGCCCTCAAGGCGTGGCATGCTTTCGCAGTGCATATTCTGGGAATGCCCGCCCAGGCAACTTTGCCGCCGCGCTCGGAGACCCAAGCGTGTGAATTCCTTGCAATATTCCGGTCTGGGAAGACAGCCAGCAACTACATCGGATACGTGAAATGGACATGCGTACATTTGAACTTGGACGTGTCGTGGTACGGGGGCGCAGTCCGCCAGACCTTAGCAGGTGTTCACAAGCGTTCTCTGCGGTACACGGGAGGGCCTGCCAGGGTTGCGCACTTGCTAACATCAGCTGTTCTGAACGAGGTGATCCAGTTGGCAGATGCTGCACGGTTGTGCAATGGATTCCAGGAGCTGGTCGTCATCAGCTGGGCTTTCCTCTTGAGGGTGCAGTCAGAAGGGGTGCCCCTGGAGGCCGGCGGACCGCATGAGGCGGACAACCTTCCCGAGGGTAGGCATTCCGCAGTCTGGCTCGCAGAAGGCGCGCTGCACCTGATTCTGCGTCGTCGCAAGCACAGGCCGGCAGGTTCTCGGCTTGCGAGGAGGTGTTCTTGTTCCACTTCCGGGGTGCGCCTGTGCCCCGTGCACAGGGTCATCGCGTACTTGCAAGGAAGGGGGCTCGGCCAGCGTCTCTTCGATTTTAACAGTGGCGCATTCACGAGCACCCTGAGGAGATTCTTAACGTTAGCTTTAGTGCCGGATGCTCCGTCCTACACCCTGAAGTCATTCAGGGCAGGAAGGGCGACGGAGATGGCTGCTCAGGGAGAGCCCCTGGGTGCTATCTTGGCTGCCGGCGAGTGGAGATCAGCGCAGTTTCTCCGATATGTTGACCTCGATTCAGTAGAGCAACAGGTTCTATTCGAGAGAGCCGTAGACTCAGGCAGCGAGTGAATGCGCAGGAAATTTGATTATGAGAGAACGATATGCTTTCCATGCTTTTGTCGCTCGGATGAGGAGGAAGGCGGTCACACGTGTCACCTTTCGTCTTCACTTCTTGAGTAGCTTTCATCGAGCTCATTTGGGCCGTCTTGGGCCGTCTTGGGATCCTCTTTGGCCTTCGTGGGGCTCTGTCGGGTCGTCTTTGGGCACTTTTGGCTGTACAGTGGATGCCTTGGGGCCGTCGTGGGGCGGTCTTCGCGCCGTCTTTGTCCGTCGAGAGGCCGTATAAAGCCACCTTGTATCCCCCCAGAGGCTCTCTTGGGCCGTCTTGGGGACGTCTTGGAGGCCTCTTTGGCCCTCACGGAGTCCTCGTGGGCCGTCTTCGGGCTCTCTTGGGGGCCTCGGGATCCGTCTTGGGGCCAATTTGGAGGCTTCTCGTCTTGAGCTGATGGATGCCCGAAAAGGCGGGAAAACGAAATCTTTTGCAAAGGCACAAGGACATTAATCATTTGAGGCTGCTTTGGGCCCTGCGAGGGGTCCTCTGGTCGCCCTCTTGGCCCGTCTTGGGAGACTCGTGGGCCGTTTCGAGATCATCTCGAGCCGTCTTGCGGCCACCTTGGGCCGCCCTGGAGGCATGTTGGACCATCTTGGCGACCTTGGTTGCCTGCATCCGCCGTGTTGGACGTTCGGGGGCGTGGACCAATCGTCCTTGGCCAGCGGTTGTGGTCTCGGGAGCGCGGACCCAGTGTTCTTTTCCCAGCCATCCTGTGGTGTTGGGTCCTCGTTTGCATGGCGTTCTCCTCCTTCTTCCTCCTCCTCCTCCTCCTCCTCCTCCTCCTCCTCCTCCTCCTCCTCCTCCTCCTCCTCCTCCTCCTCCTCCTCCTCCTCCTCCTCCTCCTCTCCTCTCCTCCTCCCCCTCCTCCCTCCTCCCTCCTCGCAAGGGCCCAGTGCAGCATTTCGTGGCCCCACGGAGCTCCACCGAATGTCCCAGTGGCAGGGTTCGCATGGCGGCCCCGCCCCGTCTCGACGCACCCCTCACGTTTCGTGGCCCCATAGGGAGCTCCACGGAAGGCCCCAGTGGCAGGGTTCGCATGGCGGCCCCGCCCCATTTCGGCACATCCCTCACACGTTTCGTGGCCCCATAACTAGGGAGTTCCACCGAAGGCCCCAGTGGCAGGGCTCGCATGGCGCTACCGCCCCATTTCGGCGCACCCCTCCCGTGGCCCCATAGGGAGCTCCACCGAAGGTCCCAGTGGCAGGGTTCGCATGGCGGCCCCGCCCCTTCTCGACACACCCATCACACGTTTTGTGGCCCCATAGGGAGCTCCACCGAAGGCCTCAGTGGCAGGGTTCGCATGGCGGCCCCGCCCCATGTCGGCACCCTTTACTCGTTTCGTGGCCCCATATGGAGCTCCACCGAAGGCCCCAGTGGCAGGGTTCGCTTGGCGGCCCCGCCCCATTTCGGCGCACCCCTCACACGTTTCGTGGCCCCACAGGGAGCTCCACTGAAGGTCCCAGTGGCAGGGTTCGCATGGCGGCCCCGCCCCATTTCGGCATACCCCTTACACGCTTCGTGACTCTACAAGGAGTTATACCGGCGCAGTGGCAGGGTTCGCATGGCGGCCCCGCCCCGTCTCGACGCACCCCTCACGTTTCGTGGCCCCATAGGGAGCTCCACCGAATGCTGTATTCATAATGCGGTACCCCCAGTTGCAGATGGTTAGGCCCTTCGCCAGGATACTTTGTCATGGATCGTGACTTGGGCAGGGGTGGTGGTGCACGCACTTGTCTGCTAATAGAGTGTTGTGTCCTGTAGAATAGTATAGGGCCGCTACCAGATAGCGCTTCACATTCAACCACGCATATACTTGCCAGGGGGCACGGGGTATGTGCGTGTGCGTATATATATATACATATATAGTATAGTATATGTATATATTATCAGTCAAAATTGTTCATCTGCAGAAGGAGGCCGTAAAATCGTCAGGAGGCGAGATGGTCGCGTCAGCAAAGTGTTAAATTTAGGTGATTGGCGTTGGACCATGGAATAGATGTATTAATGAGGATGGCAGGGGCATGCTTTGGATCTGGGGCGACAATGTGATGGGGATGCGGAGGGGGTCGCGCCCGCCAGGCGTTCCGGGGCGGCTGGTTCGCCACTGGCGATCTTGCGGTGTGGGATCCGGACTCTTCCTAGAAATTCGCTGTCTCCTCTCCGTCCTGCCGCCTTGCCCCATCCCTCTCTCTCTGCTCCCGCCTCGGTCTCTTCCTCTGCCTCCGTGTCCACTTCTGTCGTTCGGCTTCCCTCGAACACGGGCGACGGTACCTGTGAATGCGCTCTGCTGTGCCAGCGTGGACCGCTTTTAGTCGCCTGGCGGGTGGCTAGCAAAATGCTCGGGTGTGATGTTCAGTTGGGCTTTGCCCAATGGGTTCCAGCGCACTCATTTAATGCAAGAGGTCCATGTGGCAACGGAGTCCCGAGGTCGACTTTCTTGGGGATTCAATCTTTCTCTTCTGGGAGCCCTGCCCCGCTTCCCCAAGGATCGGGGGTGGACAGACCTCCTACCCTGACACGTCGATTAGCGAATTGGCCGTTTTCGGTTCGCGAGAGGGCGTCGCGGCCGCCGTTTTTGCGGGTCCAGGCCCGTCGGTTTCGGTCCTAGGCCGATTTCACTAAAGGGAGGTTTACTAAAGGGAGGTCTGTCCACCGCCGCAAGGAGCCTCGTCGCATGCCTTCACTTGCTTTCGGATTGTTCCCCGATGGATGCTCGCCTGCCAAGTTCTTGCCCTCTTGCCTGCCGTCGCGTGGTGCTCGTGGATCGGGTCTTGGATGGCCTCGCAGATGATTGCCTTCCGCCTGCCGTGCCTCTGGCTTTCCCTAGCTTTACTCTTGTGGAGGACGATCAATGGAGAGGAAGCATGTTGCCAAATTATTTCCAGATGTCTGAAAGATGTGTTAAAACTGCTGAGTGTCCATTGTCATGGCATCCACAACTTTATTCGGGGATGGACCGAACCCCCACCCTGACACGTCGATTGGTGAATTGTCCGTTTCGGGTTCTCGAAAGGACGCTGCGGACGTCATTTTCCAGGCTTGCGCCCACCAGGTTTGGGCTGAACCACGTTTTGCCAAAGGGGGTTCTGTCCATCCCCGGCTTAAGAGCCTGCGTATTTACATTGAAAACGCCTCGCGCATCCCCACCGGCCCATCCAGGCACGATGCCCAGCGGAGCTGCCCTGATCGGGGGAGCGTGGCATCATTTGGAAACCTTGGTGAGCCAGAGGTCTCCTGGCTGCCTCTCGGACTCGCTTGGGACGCCTCTTAGGGGGCCTCTTGGGGGCGTCTCGGGGCGTCTTTGGGGCTTCTCAGCGGCTGTCGGGGGCCTCTTGGAGCGTCCTGGGTGCCTCTGGGGCGCCTCTTGGGGCCTTTCGCGGGTCTCTTGCGGTCTCTTGCGGCTTCTCGGGCTCTCTTGGGGCCCTCGAGGGCTTTCTCGTGGGTGGAGGGCCTTGCGAGCCGTCTTGGGGCCATCTTGGGAGCAATCGATGAAAGAGGTGGGGTCCTCAATAATTAGGATCGCCCCCCCTCCCCCCGCGACGCCAAAATGGGCTGAAAACCTATGAGAGGGAGGGGGTAGGAGTGGAAGGGATAAACCCCTCCCTGCAGGGGGAGAAGGGATGACGGATGACTGAAGAGGACACGCTCTAAACCACCTCAGCCTCGTTGCCGTTTGTTGGCTTTTCGCTTGTGCGTGACTTGTCGTCCAGCTTGTTTTTAGCTTGCACTCCAGCTTGTCTTCAGCTTGCCCGTCTGTCTGTCAGACCATTTAGGCAAGTTGGACTTCGAAGGGTTACGTTGAACATGCATGTATGTACGTATGTATATGTGTACATAGCTTGGCAGTGGGTCACACGACTGGCTAGTTAAACAATATGGCTGGGCAGACATACAGGCCACCGATTATCCTCCCCTCTCTCTATCTGTCATTTCTCTTTCCCTCTCTCTCTATCCCCTTATATTTCTATTTGTAGGTGCACAACTGTATACATGCATGTATCCACACATACACATCAACACATACATATCTGCATACATCCATACATACATACATACATACATCCATACATGCACACCTACATAGATCCATACATCCATACATCCAAACATCCATACATCCCTGCATCCATCCGTACGTTCATACACACATACATACATCTATACACACATACACACACTGATTCATACACATACACACATACACTCATCCATCCATCCATCCGTCCGTCCGTCCATCCATCCATTCATCCATCTTTCCATCCACACACAGAGCTACACATACATACAGGGACCGACAGACAGGCAGACAGACAGACAGCCATACATACATACGCATACACATGTATATATACATGTATGTATGTATGTATGTATGTATGCATGTATGTCTGTGTATGTATGTATGTATGTATGTATGTATGTATGTATGTATGTATGCATGCATGCATGCATGCATGCATGTATGTATGTATGTATGTATGTATGCATCTATGTATGTATGTATGTATGTATGTATGCATGTATGTATGTATGTATGCATGTATGTATGTATGTATGTATGTATGTATGTATGTATGTATGTATGTAGGTATATATGTATGTATAGATATGCAAGCGGATGTACTGGTAGTGTGTTAGCCCCACGCGAAGCCAATCGCACGATGAACGTTGCACCCATCCCCCAAACCTCCTTATCTCTCGGAAAGTGTTATCCGTAAGGGCTTCGCCTCCTGCCGCCGGCCCCCTCTCTTGCAGAATGGGGTATGCACGAGCTATGTTGTGAGGCCTGGGTGCCGTCGTGAAGCAGCGTCGGAACTCCGAACGGGGGCCTCTGGAGATATGAGCGTGCCAGAATCCATCAAACACCTAAAGAGCATCGCAGATCTTGGCCTCTTGGGCCCCTCTTAGGGGTGCTCTTGGAGCGCTCTTGAGGGCCTCTGGGGAGCCTCTCGGGCTGTCTTGGGACCATCTTGGGCACCGTGGAGCACTCTTGGGCCATCTCGGAGGCCTCTTGTAGCGTCTTGGGGGCCTTTGTTAAAGGACTGTGGCCTCGAAAACATAATCATTGCATACTTTAAGAGGGTTCATGACTTCGGGGACGCGAAGAACGGATAATTTACGAGGGATCGTGGTGTCGGGGACGCGAATCTTGCATGCTTCATGAGAGAGTATTGCATCGGAGACGCGATATTTTGGTAGTTTGCAGGGAGTTATAATCCCAGGAGCGCGAACACAGCGTTCTTTGCGAGGGTTTAGTGCCTCGCGGACGGGAGCATTGCGTTATTTACCAGGGATTGTGGCCTGGGGGCGCGAATTCGGTGTACTTTATGAGGGATTATGGTTTCGGGGGCGCGAATCTCATGTATCCTTATGTGTCCCAAGACCCCCTCGGAAATTCTGAGAGCCCCCCAGGTGGCGATCATCAGGGCCCTTTTCGGCTCCCCCCCCTCGCGCGGACTTCAACAATTCACAGTAGGAAGCAGAACGCAGGACTAGAACACTGGAGACTGGAAATCGGAGCTGGTGCATGGAGCAGCAGGCCCAGCCCGCGGAGCCTGGTGGCCCCAAACAAGGGGGCCAGCGGATTGCATTTGCAAAGTGAAGTGTTTGCTGGCCCTCGGCACATCTCGCAACCGTGTTGTTGACCAGAGGCCTCCTGGAAGGCCTCTTGCTGTGAGACATCCTGGGGGGGGGCTCTCTGATGCTGCCCTCCCGGGGGCTTCTGGGGGGCCTCTCGTCGGCGCCTCTTGGATGCCTTGGGAGCGCACGGTCGGACCGAGGTTCACGAGGAGGAGGAGGAACAGGAGGAGGAGGAGGAGGAGGAGGAGGAGGAGGAGGAGGAGGAGGAGGAGGAGGAGGAGGAGGAGGAGGCAATTTTTGGAGGTTGTCTCGAGCGAAACGTTCTGTTTTTAACACAACTGTTGAACACCCGAGGTGTGTCTGGGGAGGGTACCATAATGCTCTTCGTGTTTGTTGGATGTTCTTGGGCATCCTGATGAGGTACCCTCGGATGTTCCGTGTTTTTCGGCCGGCGGAGTCTCCTGTTTTTGGAGGGTGTGCTTCTGTCTTGGGTCAGACTGTACTGGCTGCCTCAGGGACCATTTGTGGGTGAATGGGGTTCTTCGGGCCCTAGGTGGGGGCTCAGGGGGCTGTCTTGGGATGATCTTGGAGATCTCTCGCTCTCGGCATCGCTCGGACGGGTGCGTTTTTTCTCGGAGAGGATCATCGTAGAGCATCCTGGATCAACTGGGAACAAAAACACGCACAAAACCGAACAGTGCACGAGGAGTGGACGTCGGAGCGAAGGGCAAGGGGATGATCTTGGAGGTCTCTCGCTCTCAAGGCCGAGCATTTCGTGCGAGTGTGCGAAACTCCCGCCGACTCGTAGGGTGCTTCGATAAAGTTGGCTCTGGTAGCCCCCCTGGGCTCTTTGGTGCTCTGAGGAGTAACGACGCCCAGAATAATGTAGCATGTGACACCTCTCGCCTCTATTCTTAAGTCGGCCATGTCCCTCTACAGGAGGGCTATTCAAGAATAGTAATCCATAGTCTGGTGACGATTGTTCGTGTTTTTTTTCCCATTCTTTGTGAACTATCTATTTTGTTTGGTTCTTCCAACATCCGCATGTAGGAGGACATGTCCGACCTGACTCTATTCCCTGATGTGCTCCCTTGAGGCCTACCCGAGTCGTGCAGGGGCTTCCTCGGGCTCCTGTGGGGCCTGCCTGCGGCCCTCTTTGGAGCTCTCTCGGGCCGTCTCGGGCCCCTCGGCCGTCTGGGGGGCTCTGACGGGGCTGTCTTGGGGCCCCCCGGGGGCTGGGCTTGAGCCGGTGGAGTCTTCCTTGGGGTCTGTTGGGTGGCTCTCGAGGCTGTTTGGGAGTCTCGGCGGCACTGATTTTGAGTCGGTCATGCCCCTCCACAGGGGGAAAACTCAAAAATAATCTAACAATAGTCTGGGGACGATCTTTCGAGCATTTCTGACTATTTTTTTAAATCTTGCGACTATTTCTAATTTTCCTCCAACATCCGTCTGTAGGAGGACATGCCCGACCTAATCCTCGTTTCCTTCCTGGGTTGTCCTGGAAGCCTTAGATCGCCTCGGGATAGTCACACGGAAGTCTCAGGCCGCCCAGGAAAGCGCTCGGGAGGGGCGGCTGCGATGCTGCGCTTCAGCGTGAGCAGGGGGGCCCCCTTGGAAGACTTCAGAAACCCTACCATACTCGGCGGCGAGCGAGGGGGGGAAGTGAGAAGGAAAAGGCCTTCTCAGAAGGCGGCGTGACTTCTCAGAAGCCCTCGCGCCTTCTGAGAAGTTTCCCGTGTCTACGGGGAAGGCCTAGAAAACTTCTCAGAAGGCTGGGGAACTTCCGAGCCTTCTGAGAAGGCTTTCTCCTTTTCACTTCCCCCTTTGCTCGCCACTGACGCACAGCACTCTGCATCATACCAGGACTCCACTGTGCCAGGGGGCGCGGCGGCGGATATTCGCTCTTCAAAATCGAGGGTTCGAGCGGACATGAGGTCACTCCACTCAGTGCCGAGGCGACCGTGGCGGAGCTTAGAGCACCGCGTCTGCTGCACCGCTACACGTTCTCTCCTTTGGACAGCACGGCTGTCCTGTTCGACCAGGGGACTCGAGCACTTCTCGTTGCGAGGACTGTCCTTGATCCGCTTCGATGGTCAGCTCGCTAATCACGCCCCTCATTCAGTGGCAGTGGCGTGGAGCTGCCATGTGCGTCCTCAGATGCGGGGCACCGGGCGCTGCTGCACCACAAGTCGTTTGAAAGCCCCTTTCCAGTTCTGCGGCACGATCGGGTTTATCGTTTCTGATCTACCCCTTCTGCTGCCCCTCCGTCTGTGTTGCATCGCGTTCTGTGGAGTATTTCCATGCCTTCTTGCTGCTGCCGGCGGGAGTTGGACACGTCAGAGATAGCGACGAAGCTGCCATTGGGCAAGCCTTTGCCCAGGACGGCTATATCAAGCTGAAGGACAGGTCCAAGGACATCATCATCTCCGGTGGGCCCCCTGCCTCGTCCTCCTCACCCCTTCCTCACAGGAGCAAGAAGTCATGACAATGATGCGTTCCAAGATCTCCAGGTTTCCCTGCTGTCCCACGTGGACAGACACGCATTGCTGAGCGCGAGTGTCCGAGGGCCGCTTGGAAACTTGGAGTTCCCAAGACGTGTCCTGAGCCAGTCGTATCGTGGTATGTTTTCGACCTATTTCCTGCTCTCCTTCCCCTTCCTTCCTTCTCTTCTCTCCGTGTGCGCTCCTGCGCGCGCGCGGCGTTGTGTGTGTGTGTGTGTGAAGGGACGGATGGGGAGACAAGGAAACTCCAGAGGGAGGGATGAGGCTCTTGGAGGAGGCGCCAGAGGCAGGAGACGCCAGAGGGGGGGACGGAACGGGGGAGACAGGAGGCGCCAGAGGGAGGGAGGACGGGGGAAAGTCGGAGCGAGCGAGGGAGTGGAGGGATGGATGGATGGAGGAGGGGCAGGGGAGGCGGCGAGGGCGACGGCGACAGCGACGGCGACGGTGACGGCGACGTCGACGGCGACTGCGATGGCGACGGCGACGGCGACGGCGACGGCGACCGCGATGGCGACGACGACGGCGACGGCGACGGCGGCGACGGCGACTGCAACGGCGAACGATGACGACGCCGCGCACAGGGTCCCCCCCCCTCGAGTTGCAGTGGGTGGGGGGGGGTTCGAGCTGGGAGGGGCCCCCCCTGCAACCGACGACGGCAAGCGCCAGCGCTGGCGCTGGCGCCGTCGGGCAGCGACGACGACGACGACGAAGACGACGACGACGACGACGACGACCACGACCAAGACCACGACGACGGCGACGACGACGACGGCGACAGCGACGGCGACGGCGACTGCCATGGCGACGGCGACGGCGACGGCGACGGGGACGGGGACGGCGACGGCGACGGCGACGGCGGCGACGGCCACGGCCACGGCGACGGCGACGGCTGCGACGGCGACGGCAACGGCGACGACCACGACGGCGACGGCGACGGCGACGACCACGTCGACGACGGCGACGGCGACGACGACGACGACGTCGACGACGACGACGATGACGACAATGACGGCGACGGCGACGGCTGACGGCGACGGCGACGGCGATGGCGATGGCGACGGCGATGGCGACGGCGACGGCGACGGCGACGGCGACGGCGAACGAAGACGACGAACGACGACGACGACGACGACTACGACGACGACGACGACGACGGCGACAACGACGACGACGACGTCGACGACGTCGACGACGACGACGACGCCGACGACGACGCCGACGACGACGGCGACGACGACGACGACGACGCCGACGACGGCGCGCACAGGGGTGGCGATATGGGGTCCGGGTTCCAATCCCCCCCACATGCAACTCAGGGGGGCCCCCCCAGTTCAAACCCCTCCCCTTTGGACAGGGGGGGGGGCGGTTCGAACCCTCCCCTTTGAAATCCGCGGGGCTGGGGGGGCTTGGTTCGAACCCCCCCCTCTCTGGACAGGGGGGCCCCTCGCCTGGTTCGAACCCCTCCCCCCTGGGGGGTGCCCAGTTAGGGAGGCCAGTGTCCAGGGGGGTGGGGACCCGCCGTCTTTCCAGGGACGCTCTATGTTTTGGGTCGCGGCCCCAAGGCCCGCCGTGTTTTGGGGCGTGGCCCCCGTGTCAAGGTGTTCTTCCAGGCGAGAGTTCACGAAACGCGTTCACTCCCATCCCGTTCGGAGTCTCGCCTTCCCCTGATCACATGTATGTCGCCCTCTGTGCAAAAGCAGCAGGGAGGGAACGCCGCACACTTCTCCTCGCTCCTTCACCTCCTTCCTCCCCCGCAAGGAGCCAAGCATGCCACATGCAGGTCGGGGTCGGCGGGTCTGCATCTGGAGGAGAAGCAGGAGGAGGAGGAGAAGGGGGGCTAAAGAGGATGACGAGGAGGTGGAGGCGGAGGGCATGATGAGGCAGGACGAGGAGGGCAGGATGAGGCGAAGGATGAGACGGAGGAGTGGGAGCGGGATCGCAGGCGCATCACATGTTGGAGCCTTCTCTAGCCGCCTGCTGCAACCAGGCGGGGAGAACATCTCCTCCCTGGAGGTGGAGAGCATCCTGTACAAGCGCGCCGTGCTTCCCTCCGGATTCTTCTCAGCGCGCTTCGCTTGCGTGCCCTCTCCTCGCGCGCTTCTGTCCTGTTCGCCTCCGTGATCCTGCCTTCGTCGCCGTTCTTGTTCCCCCTTGACCAGCTTGCTCTCGAGGGTCCTGCGTCATGTTTCTACGGCCAGGGGCGCGTACGTCCTGCCAGATCCAAGATCGGTGGCTCGTGGCTTCTGGTCGTGGCCTTCTGTCATGGCTCGTTGTCTCTGGCCGTGGCTCGTGGTGCAGCGGAGACCCATGCCAGGACACACCCTGCTCGCCTCCAGGGTGCCCTGGGTTTCTTGGGTTTCGATGGTTTTGCTGTGGAAAGCGTGACGCTACCAACCCCAAAATCAATGGACGTCCTCGGGTGTCGGGGCTGGGCTTCTTGTGGAAGGTTTCTCGTGGACCGGCCTCCACTGCTTTGTCGCGTTTCGTGGCCTGCTCGTGGCTCGTGGTCGCTGGTCGTGGCCCGCGGTCTCTGGTCTCCTGCATGGTTTTCGGTGATGTCTCCCGCGCAGTATAGTGCCGTGTAGTCCGTTTACGGTCGGCCCGGATGAGTGGGTCGACCCTGCCAGCTCAAGGGTACCCTTTGTGTCCTGTGCCTCGCGACACGTGCCTTCTTACACTCCTATGGCGATGTGGCCCTCAGAAGGGTCTTGTGTCCTCTCGCGTGTCCTGTCCAATCGAGTCCGATTGTACTGCGGTGCGCGATCTGATTCGCCCGCCCACCCAACGATACAGCTTTGCCCATTCATACCTCCGCGGCGTGATCATCAAGCCCTCCTCTTCATAACCCAGCGTAGCCAGTCGCCTCATAGAGCTCCTCCCAATGCCAGAGGCAGTGGAACACGTCTGCGATGAGGACTTGTGGGCGATCTTAACCTGTTCGCCGAATCCATTCGGAGGTCCGGGCACGTGGATGAGTTCATGCGCACATATCGATCACATTGGTGAGCCCATGCGCGCATTTCCATGGTGGCGTCGATGAGCATTGGCGTGCACAGAAGACGTGTCAGCTGTTTCCAACGTGTTCACACAGGTATGTGTGCTCTCCATCTGATTTTGAACAGCCGGGCCTCGACATGCTTTTGTCACTACATGGTTTTTGCGTGCCTGTTTTTTTTTTGCGCGCGAGCGCGAGCACGTGGCCCGCTGTCCTTTGGCTGCTCGTTTTTTGGTTTTGACGATCTCTGTGCCACAGGGTTTTGCCAGACCTGTACCTCGGAGTCGCCGTGGCCCTGGCCCTCGTGCCGCGAGCCCCGGTGCCCCTCCCTCTCCTCCGGCCGGCCGCCCCTCCGCGCCCGCCCTGCCTCGGAAGTCTGGCCCTCGCGCCGCCCGCGCAGGCACCCAAAGGTCGCCGAGGTCGCCGTGGTGGCGCGGGACGACGCGACCTGGGGCGAGGCGCCCAGCCGCCCGCGGAGCCAGCGTCCGGCTGCCCTGGGCGCCGGCTTGGGGGAGGTCGGAGGAGGAAGAGGTACCCATACCCTTACCCTGCCTTCGCTTTCCATTTTTGGGGCCTCCTGGGAGGCCCTCGTCGCCACCGCTGGATTCGCCTCGAAATCCTGGTCAGAACGCACCCCGGCAGAGGTCCGGGGAGTATCGGCATGAGTTTTTTTGTTATCCCAAGGAGGGTGCAGGCGGCCGTCTGCTTTCTCTCTCCAGGGCGCCGAGGGCCCCTACCTGTCCTCAGCCGGGGCTCGACGAGAGCTTCAAAACATCGCTGTGGCGCTGAAGCCAACGGTGCAGACTCGCACAGCCCGCAATCAAGTTTGTTCTCACCCCAGCGATCGCCTGCGCGAGAGTGGCGAGGTGACTTCGCCCTTCGCTCAGCTGGTTGAAGTTGGCGACCTGCTGCAGGACGCGAAGGACTGCCAACTGATCTCGTGCCCGTAGGCAACCCGTATCCCCCTCCCGCTCCTTCTGCTCCCTGGCTCCCTGGCCGTCCGCGGTGACCCAGCGGCCGGCGGCAAGCAGCGGCTGCCGACGTCTGTGGGCCCTCTGTGCCCGTGCTCCTGCCTCGTGCCTCCCGGCCGCCCGTCGGTGACCCGGCGGCCTGCGGCGAATCCCGCCGCAGTGCTACCGTCAGCCCGTGTCCATAAGGATGCGCGACAGGGATGCGAACGTTCTCTCTTCGAACGAGGTTGGCTAGCGAAAGTCGCTAGGGACGGGCCGAACGGGGCAAGGATGCAACGGCACCCTTGGGAGGGTTGCCCATCCTGACTACGCGGCTTGACTCTAGCGTAGCAGCGCAGCCAGAATGATGTTGAGCAGAAGGCCCGCTCCAGCGCAGTGCCCTGTCTGAATTGGCGCGGTCTGAAATGCTCAGGCCGCCTTGGGGTCCTCTTAGGGCATCGGCGCCCTTTTGGGCAGCCTTGAGGAGACATTCATCTGGGGTGTTGGCGAGGCCCTCTGGACTGGACTGGAAAAGCTGAGGAGCCGAACACACACACACAGAGGAGCCATTGGTTTTATGTGGCTTCGGGCATCTGGGGCCTTGGCCTCGTGGCACCTCTCTTGCGATCTTTCGTGCGCCTCTCGAGGCCTCTCAGGGGCTCACTCGGCCCGAGAGAGCCCTCTGGAGCTCGAGGCCTCTCTCAAATCCTCATGGGACTCGTCGTTGGGGCACGTCTGCGTCGTCGCTTGGGCTGTTTGGGCGACGCGGTAGAACCTTTCAATTTGGACCTTTTTGGGCGCCAGGAGCCTTCTTGCATTCCCTGACCCTCCCCCATTCCAGTCTGGCAACATCGGCCTCACTGGGGAGCGGTTTAGGAAGAAGCAGTTGTCTCTCCATTACTCCTGAGAGGTCAGCGATTTGTCCAAGCAGGCAGAGCTCGGTCAGAATCTCAAATCGGTGGTACTGACGCTTGATGTGGCATAGGTTTCCCTGTGGTCTGTGGCGGACAGGTCTCGAAGCCGCCCGAATGCGCTCTGGGGGATGCAGCTGGGGCGAGGCATGCTGGCGTGCTGGGGCGATTTCGGGGCGCGGCCTGGTGCTTCGGGTCGGGAGGGCAGGACTGGCCTGGGTCTGGGCTCCAGACCTCCTGGATGGGGTTGGAGTGGATGGGGGCGGAGGACCGTGCCGCATAGCCGATGCATCGGCGATGCATCGGCGATGCGTCTCGATGTGGGGCTCAACTTCCTGCGCGCCGACGTCGCCGATGCATCGCCGATGCAACGCCGATGCACCGCCGATGCATCGGCGATGCGGCGAGATCCTCTGACCCCATCGCCTCGGGGCCCATCTGGGAGGCCTCCATAGGCATGCCCGAGCACGGGACCGGTGCCTCAAACCCTTGCACCTCAGGCGGTCGGGTGGCCGTCCCTCCCTCGCCGGTGCCTTCCCCCCTCACCTGCCCCGTCCTCCTCTCGGTGGCGCGCCCAGGGGGGACGGCCGAGGGGGCGGGTCCTCTCAGTGGCCGAAGCCACGGGGGGCTGCTCTCAGAAGGCCAGGGGGCCTCCGAGAGGCGCCGCCGCGTCTGAGAAGGCCTGCCCCCCTCTCTCTCTCTCTGCAAGAGGCGCCGGCAAGCGAGAGTCATCTACCCGACAGATGCTATTCTCAGGCGATCGCAAACATGGATTACGGTCGGCCCGGATTAGTAGGTCGACCCTGCCAAATCAAGGGTACCTTTGTGTCCTGTGTCTCGCGACCAGTGCCTCCTGCTTTCCTGTGGCAATGTGGCCCTTGGAAGGGTCTTGTGTCCGCTCGCGCGTCCTGTCCAACCAAGCCCGACTTTAAGCGGGCGTGGATTAGCGACGGGTCCCGTTTCTGCTGGAATTCGCAGATTTCCGCCGCCGAACGAGGCGGCACCGGCCGCATTTTGGGGAGGGCACCTTCCCCGATCCACGGATTTGGCGACCGAGCGCCAAATCCATGGATCGCTAATCCATGTCTGCGCGCCCCCGATGTTCTGGTCAGTGCATGGCTCGCTGTGTTAAGCTCCACCCCAGTGTGCGACGACCCGTCGCCTCGAGCGCCGGCCTACAAAAAACATGCGGCACGCCAAGCTTGGAGCCGCCGATCCTCCTCCTCCTCCTCCTCCTCCTCCTCCTCCGCCTCCTCCGCTTCCTCCGCCTCCTCCGCTTCCTCCGCCTCCTCCGCCTCCTCCGCCTCCTCCTCCGCCTCCTCCTCCTCCTCCGCCTCCTCCTCCGCCTCCTCCGCGCCTGCGCGCCGCCACCGCCTCGCAAGGGGCCGCAGGCCGCTGGGGCTCCTGGTGCCCCCGGCGCGCCGCCCCCGATGGCGGCAGCGGCGTGGGGCTCGGGCGCCGCCGCGGACCTCGGCCTCAGCCCGGGCTACACCCCCTCGAGCTCGTCGAGCAGGCCCTCGGCAAGCGAGGCGGGGAGGGTCGCAGAAAAGCAAAATCGGCACAAGCAGCAACTGTTGGCGCTCCGTGCGGATTTCTTGGATCCGCGCCGGGCCCCCCTGGCGGCGCCTCCGGCGCCGCCCCTGGCGCGCTCCGCGCGCCAGGGAGGGGGGTCCGGCGCGGATCCAAGAAGACCGCGCGGAGTGGCAAAAGCCAATGTTTCTGCCGTTTTCTCTTCTTTAGAGGGGTCGACTACACGTAAGAGCGACCATTCGCCAGAGTGGCCTTTGGTGCGGGCCCGCTGGGCCCCTGGATTGCCGAGCGCGGTGCGGCAGCAGCGTCTTGCGCGCTCGTGTTGGGCCCCCTCGCGCTCACCCAAAGGCCGCGCACCAGAGGCGACACTCTTGAACCTTGCGTGCAGCCGAGAGGGGGCGGGGGGCGAGACTCGGAGGGCGGCGGAGAGGCGCCGACGCCGCGACGCACCCCTCGTCGCCACGGTCGCATTCGCCTCGGGGTCCTGGTGGGAGCGCGCCCCGGGCAGAGGTCTGGGGAGCAGAGGCATCGACGAGCGGGGCGGCGAGGGGACGGGGTTGTCGCGTGTGCGGCCCTGCCCGCTGTGGAGGGCTCGGGTTAAGTCGGGCATGTCCCTCTACAGGAGGAGTATTCAAACATAGTAAAATCGCCAGGGGATATTTGTTTCAACAATTAAAAAAACAGTTTTTTTTTGTGGACATTTTTTTATTGTTCCTCCAAGATCCGCCTGTAGGAGGACCTGCCCGACCTGGAGGACTCAGGGGCAAGTCAGCGAGGCATGTGCTCAGGAGGGAATGCATCGACCCCCAGTGGCTCATAGCCCGCCCTAGCCAGGAGCGTGCGGACTCGCTACCAGGGGCCCATCGCCGACCCATCGGCGAAGTATCGCCGATTCCAGATCCATGCTTCCTCCCCCCCTTCGAAGAAGAGAAATACCATAAACATAAACTTTTGGCGCTCCGCGCCGATTTCTTGAATGTGCGCTGGGCCCCGTGGAGGCGCCTCTGGCGCCGCCCCCTGGCGCGCTCCGCGCGCCAGGGAGGGGTGCCCGGCGCAGATGCAAGAAATCTGGGCGGAGCGCCAAAAGATAATGTTTATGGCGTTTTTTCTTCTACCGCTGAGCCTCCTCGGTCCATCCTTGGCCTCTTTCGTTGACCGCGCCCCGGTCGAGAAGCTTCGAAACGGCCTTCCAAGGCCCTCGCATCCTTACCGCGCATCCTTATGATTTGGGCTGACTGTGTCGCAGGCTCTAGGGGAACGAATAATGACATAAACATAAAACACTTCGGAGGTTCGCGCAGATTTCTCGGATCGGCGCTCGACCTCCCTCCCTGGCGCGCGGAGCGCGCCGGGGGCGTCGCCGGTGGCGCCGCCAGGGGGCCCCAGCGCCGATCCGAGAAATCCGCGCGGACCTCCGAGTTTTTATGTTTGTGTCAATGTTCGTTCCCGTATGTATCGCCGATTCCAGAGCCATGCTTCTCCCGCCCCCCCTGGGCTTAAGGCGGGCATGTCCCTCTATGTACAGGAGGCATATTCAAAAATAGTGTAAACATAGTCTGGGGACGATGTTTCTATAATTTTCTGACCATGTTTGAGCATTTTTGGACTATTGTTCATTTTTCTTGTAAAACTCGGAGGTTGATAGACCTCCTACCCTGACACGTCGATTAGTGAATTGGCCTTTTTCGGTTCGCGAGAGGGCGTCGCGGCTGTGATTTTGCGGGTCCAGGTCCGTCGGTTTCGGTCCCAGGCCGTTTTCTTTCAAGGGTGGTTTACTAAAGGGGGGCTTGTCCACCGCCGAAGAACCCGCCTGTAGGGGGACGCGCCCGACCTGCCCCTGAGCCTGTCCCACCCCCTGGCGCCGCCCTTCCGACGGGGACGGGCACGGGGCGCGCGTGGCCCTGCCGCGGTGCAGGGGCCCCGCGCGGCCTGCCACCACCCGAGCGGTTGGGCCAGGGGCTTTGGTTTGAAAGTCGGGCGCGTCCCCCCGCAGGAGGAATGGTCGTGTGGAAGTCGATTCATGGAGAGGAAGCATGCTGCCAAATAATTTCCAGATGCCTGAAGAAT